ACACACACACACACACACACACACACACACACAGAGATCCTTACTGATACTATTTGGTAAAGGGCTGTCCTGCTGTCAAACTTACTAAGGATGTGTTTTACTTTTATTGTTTTGGGAACACAGAACCAAAGTCATTCAGTGCTGGTGATGTTCACACTTTTGTATTGTACTATCAATTCAAAATGAGTTGTTGTGAGTAGAACAAAAGTCATTAGAATAATTAGAATTCAAAGATTGAAATTAATCTTGCACATTATTTCTTCATCTAAATTTTGTAACATCTCATATATGTTGAAGAAGTTTTCCTTGAGAGCTGTAGGGCTTTAGCTTCAATATCAACTTCAGTGTGATAGATTTATTGTGTCGTCTCGTATATTGTCATCATGTCATGTGCTCTGGACAATGGCTTGAGCCAGAGGTTAACACAGATCAAATAAATGTTAGTATTTAAAGTCGATTGTACTTTTGTTGTTTTTTTCTGTAGCTGTTGGTCTCACCACCTGTCCAGAGCCAATGATCCCAGCCAATGGACTTAAAACTGGAGACAGATATATGGTCAATGAGGTGGTGGCGTTCACATGTGAGCCTGGGTACACGTTGCAGGTAATGAACATTGAATGTGTAGATGAATAGAAGCAGATTAGATACTGTTGAGCACAACTTGTTTACAGACACAAACTGATGTCTGTAACAATTGTTCAATAAATAAAAATGCAGAGATTGGACATTTCTCCTCTTGTTTTTTTCATGTTAATAGGAAAAAAAAATCCTTTCTGTTGAAAATGTGTCAAAATTCCTAACTACTGTCTATTTTCCTCCTGAAGCTAATCAACCATATTATTACTTCCAGGGCCACTCACACATTTCCTGCATGCCTGGGACTGTACGTCGATGGAACTACCCACCTCCTCTTTGCATAGGTAACACACATCATCTGCACACTGCACTGCTGGATATACCCCAAATGAATATTCATTTGGATATACTCCAAAATGAAGAAGTGAACCATGTCCTGTAGGTGTGAGGTTGGCATTGAACTTTGAGACATGCACAGAAAGTGAGACAAGTACTTTTAACACAAAAATGCCAAAGGGTCACAGCCTTTGAAAAAGTGATTTGATGGATTTTATTGCTTATTTTAGATGTTTAGAGTAAAATCATAATCGGTTTATTCAAGTCATCAGTTACATGTCAGTGTGTAGATTTATTCATCTGCACTTTATAGAATATTACATCGAATGTGATATCTAAGTCAGTTTCTCCAATTTCTCATACCACAAGAATATTACTGGAAATATTATTCTAAATCAAAAATAGTAAATAGAAACAAAGGGCAGTTTCTATCTACGACTCATTTGGTATGTTTATTGTTACTAGCTTGAAATCAAATTTGTGGAAGTCAGCTCCTGCTTCAGTGACACAGGGTCAGCGATCTATAAAATCAATGTGACACCTGGGTACAAACCACATTTTGTACCTTGTGCTGAGAGCCAAGGCTTTCCAACTTCTTCAATAGTGTTAAGGGACCTTGTTAACATTGATGTTTGAGTTTGGGCCAGATAACTCAGTCCTTGGTGAAACTTGTAGCAGGTCTAGAGGCCAATTCCAGTTAAACGCAACCTTAACATGTCAGGACTAAATAGACTTAACCCTGTCGCAGCCAGCTTCATTGTATGTGTAAGATTCAACTTTTTTATTTTCTTGTATCAACCCAATCAGGCCCAAATGTGTCTGTAAAAGGCAGCACCATACAGTAGGGTGCCATATAATTTAAAAGATACACAGTGAACTCTGGTACACTATTTATTTGTTCTAATTATTGATTTTCTATATCTTAATTTTAGTCACCAGATATTATCAGTGGTCAAAGTTTGACTGTTAATTTCAAAATGATGCAACATTTAAAAACGTATTTCATACATATTTAGCATACTTACATACTTAAACTTTCCTGTCAAGTGCTTCATACTTTTTTCCTGAGCACACAACATTGCAAACCCATTATGTTGCTGTTCGCGGCTTTATTATTCATTTTTTGCTTTTTTGCTTTAGCGGTGTTGAAACAGAGAGGATAAAGAGATGATCTCTACATTGCCCTTGTTTTCACCTGTTGTGTGTGTATGTTTGTTGTGCTTGTGTTGTCAGCTCGTTGCGGTGGGGTGTTGTCTGAGATGAACAGTGTCATCCTCAGTCCAGGTTTCCCTGGCAACTACCCCGGCAACCTGGACTGCACCTGGCAAATAACCCTGCCAACTGGATATGGTAAGTTTGATGTGGAGTATAAGAGCATTGCTAAAAAGAACGTGTCACTTTCATTACATCTGTTGGTGTAGTCAGGAAACACAGACCGTCTTTTAAAACACAGAATCTGCAGCACATATGGTTTATTGAAAGCTTTACCACATGTTTCACTAAAGGCTGACACATGGTGTATTCTGTTTAATGACTAACGGATGTTTTAAATAGGACACAGTTTTTTGTCTGTGTGTCATTATTGCCAGTCTTTAGGAATTATATGACATGATTGATTTTATTTGATAGGGTAATGATATTGATAACAGAACACAGTTGTCTCAGGCAACAAAACTGCAGTCCGGACATTTCCTATAATTGTATAGGTGTATGTATAAATATAAAGGGCTGTATATATGAAAGCAAATGTCCAAATCAGTTGCTTTGGACATTTTCCTGACAATATAAGGATAATGTCCCGGTGTGGCCCATGTGAGAATAGAGCAGGAAAATGTCCAGAAAATTCACAGCAAGCAAGTGGGCGTGGTGATGAGATGTCCGTCACATGACGGATGTGAAACTGGAGGCGTAAAACTGTCTCAGGATGAAAAACAGGTGCCAGTTCGGAAGACAAGTAGATTGAAGAGCTTTTGGTGATGAGGGCAGACACTGCTGTGGATTTGCTGTAAACAAACACACTGTGCTTTCTGCAGCAGAATCCATCTTCTGCATCCTTCTGACCCAGACGATCTAACTCTGTGTTATTCACAAGTTAAAGGGACAATCTGCTAAATGTCTGGACCCAGTTAACTGGAGATTGATGTCTGAAAACAGCTCATGTTACATGTACACTGTTAATGTTTTGTCAAATGTAAACTTTTTCTGTTGATGTTCTCAAATCCATTAAATTCCTCCTTGAGCCATGAAATGAATGCTCATGCATTTATGTCCTTGTATTCTAGGAGCCCATATTCAATTCCAAAACTTCTCTTCTGAAGACAACCATGACTTCCTAGAGGTCAGGGCCGGACCACAGCATAGCTCCGCTCTTATTGGACAGTTTACTGGTTCGCAGATCCCACCCCCTCTGCTGAGCACTACCCACCTGACAATCGTTCACTTCTACAGTGACCACTCGGAGAATAGACCGGGATTCAAACTGACCTATCAGGGTGAGTTTGTTATATTTTTGACTAATTAAGATGTTGTTTTTTTAAGGCGATGACTGCAGACACTGAATGCCACAAACCCTGAGGTATCACTGCAGGCACTTTCAGTTGAAAGCAGCCCCTTAAGGGATGCTGAGAGCACACACCTGTATTCAAACTGAGCCAAATGTTTAGTCTCTCCATATTTGGGGTAGAGAACAACAAGCTGGTTGCTTTGAGATGATTAAATAAAAAGTGGTCTCAAATGTTTTGAGTAAAAATTAACATCCAAACCTAGTGGCCAAATTACAAAGCTTTCCCAGCGCCAAGAAATGAAGAGTGGGATGAAAAAAATGATTGCTGAGAGGTTTTGAGCTTTGATCCATGGATGAGTCACGTTAAAGACTTAAAAAAAACCCTTATGGCTTAATTTCCTCTCATCATTAAAAGAGATGGATTGTTAGTAAGCTCCTGTGAGAGACTGCCATCGTGTCCAGCAGGCTTTACTTGTAGCCCTGAGTGTTTCACTTCAAAGACACAAGAACTGCACTGTGGGCCTGTATGCCAGCATAACTAGAACAAGGCTTACTAACTTACATATAAACTAACCCACATTTTAATAATGGCTGTGTCCCAGATCACTCACTGATCCACTACATAGTCCACTATATAGTCATTCTATAGTGGTGTCCAAATGTTTACTGAAGTTTTTATACCTTATATAGTGCACTTGTTGTTTCCCCCAATGCATCGTTAAAAGTAGTGCACAACCAATGGTTACTAACCATCTTATCTTACTCTTATCTTATTTTATGACACTTGCATGACAAAGTGCAGAGCAGCACATCACAGCCCAAAGTGTGGAGAACAAGTGAATTTCTACAGTTAAAGATGAACAATATGGTTTTTTTTTACCGTAAAGTGTAAAATAAACGTTTAAAATTTGCTGTGGGATTTTCCACTGGCCGATGTTGTTGTTGTTGTGTTTTTCTTTTCCCGAGTAGGGAATAGTGAGTGAGTGGAGGATTTCCGACACGATTAATTATTTTCCTATTTTTCCTCCAATTAGTAATGTCCAAGTCCCCTAACAATGCAGTCCTTGTTGATGCTAACCCCCACCCACTGATATGGATGGTGTGGACATCTGTCCTCACATAGAGTTGTACCAGATGCTTATTTTTTTAAGATCTTCGGTAGGAGGATATAATACACGTATAGATTCTCGATTCTTCCCTTGAGGGTCACGATTGGCAGTTTTCCAACATTCACCACTGCACACTTGAAGATACAAGATCAGCTTCTGCCTTAGAGATTTATGGTTCATTAGTCATGTGCACATCCGTAAAGCCTCAATGGGATAAATGCTGGATCCCAAAAAGTCCTTATGAATCCAATGGAAAAATACCCACACGCTGAGGCTTCCACACAAACATCACTAAAGTGAGCGGAAGGAAGGTTGTTAATGGAATCTGTGGAGACATTTTCTTTGTTGTAGTTTCACTGCTGCAAATAGTACCACTATCTCTTGGACAACTCGGCTCACATATTTTCGATATTTTCACCATTTCCTATTTTCTCCACCTGGTAATTTCCATGTCCTATCATATTTCCGCTCCTAGTTGCTGCTTTCATATGGTACCTCTACATCTGTTGCCACTTGTTTATGTCTTGCCTCTTTATTTCTATGCTGTCCACTTAGTTTTGTCCATATACAATGTCCAACAGGATATTCAAACTTACGCTCACAAAAATCTGTATTGGCCTCTCCAATTTGAACATGGGCTGGGTCATACTTAGCACAAATGGTGTTCTGCACACTTACTGTGGTCTGATTGTGTTGTATGAAGTAACTTGCTACATTCTTGATCCTGCTACCACCAGCTTGTGCTATCTGTGAGGCCTCTTTGCATAATATGCACCTCAGGATCAGTCTAGTACTACTGTTTGTGTTGACCCGGTGCTCGGTGCATGTTCTTGTGTTCTCTCTGTCTTCTCTCTTCTTTTTGATGACAGTCATCACTGCTCTTTTTCAATAGCACGTATAATGGAGGGCCTTGGCTTACCGTGACACTCATACAGAGTGACATGTGCTAAAAAATGTTGGTATACCATACACACAGATAAGATCCAGAGAACTTTGTAGAAGGAGATAAGATATATTGCAGCACTTACTGCTGGTGACCTCTGTTAGACATAGATTTGTTCATGCCCTTCAAGTCTGTTAGATGTAGATAGAAAAAATTGTTTGAATGCAATCACTCAAACTCAGAAGTCATTTTGAGGTCACATTTGAGACGTGGGAGACAAGACTAGCAGAAAAAAGAGAACATGTCAGGCTACATTGCATTTATTCAGTGTATAACTGTATGCCTCCCTGTATAGCTTGTATTATTTTCCTAATGCCTAAAAGTCAAGTAAAACAAATGAATGAAAAATAAACTAAACTGACTCACATAATTTCTCATCGGCTCTCTCTTTAGCCTATCAACTGCAAAACTGCCAGGACCCCTTTCCTTTCCCCAATGGTGACATCATCAACAGTGACTACAGCGCTGGCCAATCGGTAACTTTCCAGTGCTACCCAGGTTATGTTTTGATTGGACACCCGGTACTAACCTGCCTGCATGGGACCAACCGGAAGTGGAACCACCCATTTCCACGCTGTGAGGGTAAGAACCAATGACTATATGAGGATATTTCACAAAATATTCACATCTGTTGATTGTATAAAACATTTGAACGATAATCAAACTATTAAAAAACAAAAAACGTCCCTCACTGACCAATAAATATCATAATTTAAGGAATCGTTATCTTGATTGAATTTGAATGAAGTTAATCTCATCTTTCACCAGTATCACAAATTAGCTCTGTTGGCAAATCAGCAGGAAGTAAATAATGTGTGTGACTCTTGGATCATTTATAGAAAAATCACTGTCCTCATCACTACCACCACTATTACTCCTGCTGTTAATAGAGATGATAATAATTATAATCTTTACTGTCTGCAGGTCAGCAGTTATTCATGTCCTCTGATTCTTCCAGGTCTAGCACGTTACAAGAAAGTGACGAATTTGCAAATATATAATTTTACAACACTGCTTTTTTACAGCTCCTTGCGGCTATAATGTCACAGCTGAAAATGGGACCATCTATTCACCTCAGTACCCCAATGAATACCCCAACTCCCAGGATTGTATCTGGCTCATCACTGTTCCCCATGGACATGGAGTTTATATCAACTTTACCTTGTTGCAGACGGAGCCTGTCACTGATTACATTGCTGTCTGGTAAGTGTGGGTGCTCGCACTTGAATGCACATACACACACAAAAATGCAAAAGCTTCTTCTCAACATTGCCCTTTATCCTGGAAATGATTGCATCACTGATGGCTAAGTCCTGAATGCACTTATAGCCTGTCTCCTCTCTGCACACTAACAAGAAACTGGTCAATCAACTTTTACTTTTATTTTTTATTCATCGTTGTCAGTCCCTCTTATATATTCTCTCGAACAGACATCCCTGGTATTGGTTGCTTTTTCTATTATTATATCTTTTACTTTATAAAAAAATGTCTTGACTCTGCAAAGGCACGAATACTTCATATATATATATATATTTATATATATATATGTCAATTGTTTATTACTCTATCATACAAGGAGATCAACTCAAATCCATCTGTGTATGGCATGGTCAATACAGAGGAAACACAGCTCCTTAGACACACACACACATATATATACTCTGTGATATGCATACACAGACTCTCCTGCAGTAATAATAGGATTCAGTATGGAGGTAAAATTGTAATAGAGGGGGTGTGAGAGTAATGCATTTACAATGGGACCACTGACCAATTCAATCTAACTCAGTAGCATGGCCACACAGAGACCCGGATAGGGCTCAGGAACTCTGGCAGTAATGATGAGATTCAGTGGGGAGAGGGGAAAAGTAATGAAAGGCATGGTGGAGCTGGGGGTCGGAAATCCAACGGGACTCAACTGAATCTCACAAGTTGGGGTCAGTCCAAGAGAAATTTCTCACTTAACAGTTTCTGCTTGCCAACAAAAACAATATTGAACAGTGAGTTTATTAGGAAGAAAAATAGGATCTTGTAGTATTTGAGACATGTCATCAATTGGTGCAGGTTTGGTTCAGTAAAGACATATTTGATGTTTGTGCTGAGGTCAGGTGTTAATGTTCGGGCTGAAGAGTCAAGCTCTAGGGAGTGAGCAGCTGAAATGCAGGAAGTGGGAAAGTAATAGATTCACAGTCTGTGACTACTCACCTTCAATCTCACCAGCCACCACAGCCACAGAGATGGGTGTGGAGAGGCTGGTTTTACAGTTGCAAATTGATTTTTGTGATTCATGTGTTTTTTGGTACATTTCATGGTGAATAGAATTATAAAATCACATTTATAGATTGTAGGGTACCAAAAAGACATCTGTTACGTGAGATTAGTGCATACATAATGGACTGTTGCACTGCTCAGTCAAGCTATATCTCCAACACATGAATATATTTGGAAGTGACTGGAGGCTGACTCTGAAGAGAGGAGTCCTTTTCTCAGACCCAGTGGGATACCATCTACCTTCCAGGGCCGTGGACAGATTTAGAGTGGATGATCCAAAGGTCTGTTGCATCGACATTACAGTCAGGTAAAGGGTAGAGAGCTGATACCTACGTCAAAGCTCCCTGTTTTCGAACGCTGAATAACCATCAAAGACACAGCTTTGACGTTTGATGTATTTGAATCAGCGAATGTGCATAAAAATAAATTACCTTTTTCAAAACTACAGACGTTACAGGTATGTCACTTCAAAGATTTTTCACTACAGACAGATGTACTGCTGGTGATCATCACAGCACAGGTGTTACACACATAACTGCCTTCCAGTTGTTGTCAGTCAGAACAAAGGTTACTGCATCGGTGACTCAGGTCACCTTTCTTTTCACTGGAGATGTACTCATTGCTCATTTGTGCTTCAACAGATCTTGCATTCCGGCTTACATCCTGGTGGCCTGAAGCTTAATACCTTCTTTGTTCATCTGTTGGTTCTTTCAACTCGCTCAGACAGACACAAGTGTCCTTTAAACATACAAGGTTGAAGCGGTGAGATGAACGGTGGAATTTCCAGTGGATGAATGGTTAAAATCATTTTTAAATTATGAACACATCAGGCTTTCTGAAACTTCTTCATTCATGATGGATTTTGTACCTTGATTATGTGCATCAGCAGTGAATAAAAGCATAATATCAGACATTATCTAATGGAACTCACGAGAGCATAATATCAGGGATGAATTGGGTTTTAGACTGTTTGGATTTTTGAATTGACTTGGACAGTGGGAGGAGACACATTATCCCCTGTGTGAGCTGCTGGGTTAATAAGGAATTGATTGGATACATAGTTTCTATTTACTGAAATATGAAACTTTTAATGGTTAGTTTTGAAGTTTGAACCTAAAATGAGTCATACTGGATCTGAATAAGTGGAGCAAAGCAAGCCTGTTAGTGATAAGATTAAACTTCCACTTGTAGATGCTGTAGCCCAAAGATTTTTCAAATGGTTTCAGTGTATTGATATATAAATCTAAATGTTGTGCAATGAACATTAGATGCCATGAAGAGCAATATGTTCATAATGCATTGCTTTAGGTTGGAGCATTTCAATGACTCTAAAAATCTCTAGTCACATTCAAACAATGACATATTTTTTATGATCTGATGAGACGAGACATCACTCTTAGTGGTTTTCTTCACCAGCCTGCTTCTCTTCTGGTCTGTCATTCACCAGAGTTGTGATTGGTGTATTTAACCCTGTGTTTTATCATGTTCTGTTATATTTCAGTAAAGTGTGTTTCTGCCCAGTACCACTGAGTTCACGTGACAGCAGCTGTATCCAGATGTCAGGGACCTAGGTTGTCTCTGTGGTCTGCCACTGTTTGTGTTTGGCTTGTTGCCTAAAATCACCGGACCATATTTGAACAGTGGGTGATGCATCCAACACCACGACAGCAGAGTCATTTGTAATACTGTTTACTCACCGAAATCATCGGACCAAGTGAAAAGTGAATCAAAAAACATATTTTAAAAATATTTTGGACAATGTTCTACTGATTTTGTGCTCTATTGGTGCTTTGTATAATATTGGATCTCTCTTAGTGCTGTATTTTTGAAAAGAAAGAAAAATCAACCCTGAAATGCTAAACACAGTTATGGTTTGTTTCATTCAACAAGAAAATGCATCTGTAAAAGCTCAGAAAATTGCAGCAATCAGCTGTGATAAACCCTGTCAGAAAAAAACACACGCTTAGGGGATATCGAGATATTCTAATGCACAAAGTACCAGAAATATCTGGTCTCATGTCACAGTCTTGTTCCATCAGTGTGCTGTAAATCTGAATCTTCAGTATAAAGATGTCAGTTTACACTCAAAGATGGATTTTTGGTGGATCTACTGTTGTCTCCTTCATCAGACCCTCAGAGGGGGTCTACCGGTCTGGCTGTTGCCAAGGATGCACTGATTGTAATGTAAAATGATTTCATTTGAAGGCGAATGGTGTCAGCCCCCATCCCTCTCTTAATGTATTCTTCCCAATCCCAGCCTATTCCAGCACTGCACCCAATCACCTGTTAAGTCTTACTAAAAGCATGATCCTTCCAAAACAATAAATGAAACATTAACATTAAAAATATATAAAGATAACACTTTTTAGCTATAGCTGTACACAAAATAAATATGGGCTAAGATACAGTCAAATCTTAAAACTGACCCCCTCATAGGCACAAGTTTCTCATTTTGTCTTGGCTGGACTGATCATCCTAGTGTTACAGTTACCTCTGTCACGTTCACTCTCCTCCTTGTTTGCCTTCATTAACATTTTCTGCCTGCTTTATACTTTGTGGTAAACAAAGCATTTTTTGAATACCCACAAAATATTACTTGGAAAGGTCTGATTTGACTGGATTAAATAAACGTTTTTTCGACTGTCACACAATATACAGTATATATTATCATTTTTTACACCTTGAGTTTTAATACATGATTTAATATTTTGCATTGTAAATGTTTTTGTGCTGAGGAAGATATTGTAATATGGATTTGTAATTTATGACTGAGTTTAGATTTAAATGATCCAAATAGCACACTTTGATTCCCCAAAGAGCTCTAACACCTTCAGAAGACCTTGAATTATTGAGCAGCCAAGAGATCCCAGGCACTCTTCATGAATTAAAATTTTAAAACCCTTGTTTAATCCAATAGCATGTTCATTAAAAACCTAAAACTGGGCATTTAGGAACTTTATAAAATGTAACCTTTCAAAAACATTCAATATTTAGTGAGTGAAGTTAAGCCTTTAATCCATGAGCTTTGTTAAAAAAAAAAGCAAAGAGAGGAAAAAAACACAATTATTTTGCTACCTCTTCAATGAAGACACATGTGGGCTGACCAGATATCTGTTTTATGTTTATTTTGATGAAGGCTGCTTTGTTTTGTCTTAAGTTTCTTTTCTTCTCAGAAGTTAAATCCAGTCGGTGAAAGTGAATCCTCAATTATCATTTCATAAGACGTTCACACTGATCTCAACCTCCCTCTGAGTCTGTGGCATAGTGTGACTTTGATATTAAAATCATAACTTAATGTAGCCATTTGAGTTTTTCATGACTACAAATACTGATTTCTTTTATTAGGAATTTTACAGTTTAAGTTGTTTTCAGATTATAAGGAAAATATTCCTAAATGGTTTTTATGTTTATTATTCTGAAATTATAATTCTTACATATTTAATTTCATTTTATCATCCATTTTATTTGTGTTGCCCTTATCTTGCATGTCTAGCTATGATTATTGTACATGTCATCCCTTGTTTCACTGCACATGTTAAATTTAGAATGCGCTTAATAAAATTTTAACTAGAAAGGGCTTAGCTTGCTATGTAAAGACGTAGTAAATCATTGTATATCTTATGCATAGATAACCTTTTGCCAGTCATTATATGTCTTGTTTTCTACGTCTCCATCTATTTGCTGCAGTGTATCCTACCTTCACTTTAAGCATCACCACTTGTCTTTGTTGTCTCTCTTTCTTTATTTAGGGATGGCCCAGATACACCCAGCCCTCAGCTTGGAGTCTTCAGTGGCAACACAGCATTAGAGTCAGCATACAGTAGCAGCCCAAAGGTCCTGATCCGCTTTCACTCTGACTTTTCAACCGGAGGGTTCTTCATACTCAACTTCCACGGTACAGATACACACACACACACACACACACACACACACACACACACGTTTGTACTTATATCTTAGTGAGGACACTCATTGGCATAATGCATTCCCCAGCCCCTTACCATAACTTTAACCATCCAAACTAAATGCCTAACCCTAAAACCTAGACTTGACCCTCAAACTGCCCTTTGAAGAAGTGAGGACCGGCCAAAATGTCCTCACTTTCCAAAAATGTCCTCACTCAGTAGGGTCTATTCTTAAATCGTCCTTAAAATGGAACACACACACACACACACATTCCTGTAGTATAAGTTGCCTTACACAGTATTTGTGTGTGCATAATATAATAATATGTATAATGTGATACAATCTGACACATAAATACATGGGTAAAGGGATGGGTACACTAAGAACCAGGTTTCTTCATTCTCACAATGTTTGATTTGAATCAGATCAGCGTATTTAATGTGACGTCATAGTTTTCAAGACACGTGACCAATGAAATGCATCAGGATTCACTGAGGCTGAAGGAGGTTTTAGTGCACGTTGGCATTTTGTCAGACAATCCTCTCGCTGTCTGTTTGAGGTTGTTTGCTTTCAGAGGCTACAGTAGGTTTTAGTGGGATAAAAGACACAGAGAGAGATGCTGGAGCACAGCTACTCTTCCTCTTTCACACACTTCTATTGCTCTCCATCACTCCACTGCATTTCACTCTTTTTCAAGAATAAACTAATTCATATTTTTCAGTATTTCTATCCATCAATAGATAGTACCTAACTGTATTCCATTGTCTCCAGCTTACCGTCTGAAGAAATGCCCTCCTCCGCCTGCTGTGGAGAATGCAGAGGTGATATATGAAGATGAAGACTTCCAGATAGGTAATAAGCCTGATTAATAAATATAACCTTCATACAGCAGACATTATGTTGACAATAGAGAGAAACAGACAACCTCTGTGTGTGCATGTGTATCTGTGGCACACTGACACAAACGAAATAGAGATAGATTAGCAATAGGAACTTTTTTTTTTTTGCCAAATGTCTGATGATTCCTGATCAATTTTAATATACTCACTAAAATGACATTACAGAGGACCCATATCACTTGGTTATAAAATATAACATAACTTCAAATTTTTTCATCTTTGGCTTGTCACGACTCTGTCAGCCTTTTCTCACTGCACTGGTTCCCAACCTGTAGTTACCACAGTGGGTAGATAGTGGAACTGGAATGCCGAGGTACAGTTAGTCCCTCTGCAAAGTGTACAGCATGCTGCGCATCACAGGGGCCATCAGGCAAAGATCCATCAAATTGACCAGAGAGGCAGCAGAAGTTGCTTCAAGGTTGGGCTCAGGAGAGGAGACCCGAGGGTGGAGGGGGCGCTGCCTGGACACAAGCTGGGGCTCCATCAACCATGGCTGCGTTGCCAGGGCGAGGGTGTGTGATGTTGAAAGACAGAAAAAACTGTGACCCACAGGAAGCATCACTGATGATGTTTGTTAAAAGCATAAACATGAACAAGGCTCTATTAATGGGGAAAATTAAAGGCTTCCATCATTTCTAAAATTGTCTTGTGGTAGCAGTAGTAGCAATGAATTAAAAACGATTTGTGGTCAGTTAATAGCATTGTTCTATAAACTAACTTCCTAATTACATTGTTGTTTTGTATTGTGTGCATTGTGTAGTGCTTGGTCTAACAACAAACACTGTGGGAAAGCACAATTATTTTCATTTGAAATGTAACAAGTCTTTTTTCACAAGCTTCTAAAGAACATTCAATTTAGAAGAAATAATCGCTTGTCAGGTTTTTCTATTTTCCCTTAGCTCTGTATTGTGTGATTTGTTCAAAGCATCCTACTTTAAGGTTTGGTGACCTTTTTAGAACAGTTTTTGTTAAAGCAGACATTTCATAAAACCCACAGAAAAATCAATGTACCCTGCCAGTGCTACCCTGCCAGAGTCTAGTTTGCTTCTGGCAAAGCATGGAAATAATTTTCCTTCAGAAAACGTACGTTCTCAAATGTCATCTTTTTACAAACTCAGTAAACCTAGTTACTTTTTGAAAGACTTGTAGATTGTTTAAGTTTTTTATATCTTTGTGCTTGACCTTTTGAAAATGAATGAATAAATAATGGTCCATTAGTTTTATTATAAAGTCAATAGAGACCTCATTGAAAGTTCATATAAAAAAAATGAATTAGACACTTTGTTCCTAATAGGACACAGATAATGTAAATTTAGCCATGATTGAAGGTGATAGCACGATTTTATATCTGTGATTTACTGTGTAAGGATTAATTCAGTTATTGCTACTTCACTACACCAAAGCAGCAGCGGAAGTGCACCTACTCACAGCAAGACTCAATTCTATTCTTTGTGTGACAGAGTAAAGACCCAAGGCAGGGAGTTTGCAGTAATCATACATACACATCTTAAAAGCCCTCCAAACATTTCAGAGCATGTGGTGTCAAATTTACATCCACATAGAGACAGGGCCAGTTTTATTGTCGGTCAGTCTAAAAGCCAATTATGCAATCTGTGAAAAAGCTCAAGCAGAGGTTAAACGTTGTGTTTTTGTTCTGTCCAACAGGTTTAAACTGACAGAGGCCCCATGCAGTGACTGTGCACTCCTGGGTGCAAAGTTTGAAACATGTATTACATCTCTGGCCCTTTCATGATTGCAGGCCTGTCAACTCTGCCTCTTAAAATGGTGTAACACAACCAGCTATTTCTGAGAACTCTGCTTGCAAAATAAATACCTTAAAGGTTTAAACAGTTTTAGACTTATAGCTAGTTTATCATAAGACTTCCGCAGGTATGGTGAATTGCAGAATCAAGAAGACTAAACTGTAGAAATGCTTGTAGAATGGAATTCAACACGATTTTAATATCTCCCTTGCTTTAGGTGATATTGTAAAGTATCGTTGTTTACCTGGATACACACTGATTGGAAAAGCAGAGCTTATGTGCAAACTCAACTCCCATTTGCTCTTTGAGGCCCCACCACCATCATGTCAAGGTAAGACATCAAGCAAGTGGCAAAGTGTTGTGGTGTCAAAGTGCTCAGATTGTGTAGTAAATTTAAATTGTGTTATTATAATGCATTTATTCTCAAACATAAAGTTGTTGAACTAAACCTTACTCTCTGACGTTGACAGCCATGTGTTCCACAGCATTACGCCTCTAAAAGCCATTTAAATGTGAACTGAACTGACTGTGTGTATTTGTCAACACTAATCCTGTGCTTCACATAATGCACCTTGAGGTGCTTTTTTGTTGTATTGTTCAGATCTGTAAACAGCCAGGTCTTTCCAGGACTTCAGTTTTGTTGACCAAGTACGCTTTGCAGCCACAGGAGATATCATACAGCTGTTTACTCTGGCTGAGTGTTAGTCCACATGATAGTAAGCTGATTCTAATGTCTCCTCCTGAAAAACGGTCTCCTAATTAAAAGTCCAGTGTGTAAGATTTCAGAGAAAGGGAACTATTGGCAGAAATTGAATGTAGAGTAATTCTCATGATGTTTTCACTAGTTTGTTTCATCTAAATTGAATAATTTGTAGTTTTCTTTACCCCAGAAAAGGCCCTTTATATTTAAATACTTTATATTTAAATACTTTATACAAACACCTTTTGAGTTTTTATGAAAACTGAAGCTGCCACAGTTTCTTTTTCATGTTTGGAAGGAGAGGGTGAGGTGAGGGGTGTTCAGCTGCAACATGAAATTTCAACACTCAATATCACAAAATTCTACACATTGTACCTTTAATGCTAATTTACCTCACTACCATTGTTACTACTACCCACTAATGTGAACCAAATCTTGAAAGAATCAAAAGGTGATTTGAATCAGAGGACACACATTGCTGCACGTTATATGGCCTTAAATTGTGCACATGCAACATGAAACCAAAGTTTTCCCTCAGACAACCTGGAGGACAGATCCTTTTCTGTGACATAATAAGTGTAGTCATCACCTAGAGAGGCTTTAAGTGGCTCATTTGAATATGCAGGTTTTAAAGGCAGACACCATGTGTCTACAGATTATACACATTCTGAATAAGCCCCTCATGACCCCTGTTCATCTGCAAGTCGAATAAAATCTGAATTTCCATGGGGGGGAAAGGCTCTTTTTGCAGGAGTGCTGGTGACATGAAGCAGGTAAAGGAAGTGGGCAGGTAAACATTGAATGAAAAGGACGCCAATCAGGGAGGAGCTTTGTTAGAAACCAGAAATCAGAAATGTATCCGTGATCTGCAAGCTTTCAATGTTTTGGTAAATCTGACGAGCTTTCGACTGTTACCCTCCAGCCCAGTGCCCGGCCAATGAGGAGCGGTCTTCATCATCAGGAGTCATACTTAGTCCGGGGTTTCCTAGCAACTACCCCAACAGCCAGACATGCTCCTGGCTTCTACGTATGGTTCCAGGTACAGTGTTTGTCCAAGGGGTACATTCAGTATGTATAAAGCCTGCTACTTCACAATATGTCAGTGATGTGTGCAAGACTGTGCACACATTAAATATATGTATGTTCATGTGCACTTACATGTATAATGCAAATGCATAAAAGATTGTGTGCATAGTGTGTGTCTTTGCATTTATATGTGTGGCACACACTTCATATTGCATATTGTAGCTTTTCAGATGTGATTGTTAATTCATTTCTCTTGTTTCCCAGGTTATACCATCAATATCTACGTAGAGATGTTCCACAGCGAGAAACAGTTTGATGAACTAGAGATTTTTGATGGTATACAAAGCTTTTCCTCTCAGATTTTAATGCAACTCTGCACACACATCACCATCACACACGTCTTTTTATAAAATGAAATAAAAAGCACAACAGTTATTAAGATGCACAACAATTGAGGTGTGCAGAACAAATTGTGTGTGTGTACTTATATATTTGTGAGGACCATTTTGAGCATAGACCTTATACGAAGTGAGGACATTTTGGAAAGTGAGGGTATTTTGGCTGGTGCTCACTTTTTCAAACGGTTAAGGACTTTATTTTGGGGTAAGGGTTAGAATTCGGTTTAGTTAGGGTTAGTGTCAGGCAATTAGTTGTGATTGTTAAGGTTAGGGTAAGGGGCTGGCAAATGCACTATGCCTATAGGTGTCCTCTCTTCCTCACTAAAATAGAACTACAAGAATTTGTGTGAATTAACTTTCTAAAGTTCATTTATTTCATTTGTGCAATAACTTCACAAATTCTCTACAAATAACAAAAAAAAAAGTTTTTTGTCGTTCAAAGAAGAGTTGAGAAAGTGATGTAATATAATTGAAAGTCTTTTGGCGGTTAGACCCCCTCGTGACGATATCATGATTTAAAGAGGTGAGACCGTGAGTAGAATAGGAAACCTCACCGGCGTCTAGACAGTGGTGATGGCCGTGAAGGGATGGAGGGATGCTGAGAATCTGAATACAATGGACTTTGGATATGAAGACTGGAGGTTATTGAGGTGGAGGAGAGTCGCAGTGATTCACTGAAATGACAGAGAGAGCAGATTTTAAGTTTGACAGCAACAACATGATTGGCTAAATAAGATTGTCGCAGAATCTGATTGGATTACAGAGAGCACCCACAGTCAGCCGATTAGAGAAAGTGGGTAGAAGGAGAGACAGAAACAGAGTTGTGAATAAAAGAGTGTTTCAGATATTCTTAGTGATTGAACTTATGCTGAGCTTCATTAGTGACAACTAATATCAAATCTTTAAATCATTATGTCCTTTTTCAGGGGCATACAGCTTAGTTTGTAACCAACATCATAAATAACCCAACATAACACATGACTTTAATATCTTTTGGATTCTGTGATTTGTAATGGAATCCTGTGCAGGATGAGGAAACATTCAATATGTGTATTATCCTGTTCAACTCTGTCTCGTCTATGATGTTGCCCACGGCGATGGCGTAATTGTTGAGTAGGTGGCTATGCCAAGATGTTTCTGATTTGCAGTCCCCTTCGCTTTGTTGAAAGGAATAAAATGTCGATAGGTGTCAACATTACAGCTGATTCAGTGTATAAATGTTTTTATTGTTAAATTGTTGGTAGATGGTCTATATTTAGAATTCATAAAAGACTGGTTAGACCTTCAATACAAGACCAAAGTTACTTTGGGCCACAGCCACGTTTTTGATTTGATTCAAGCACTTGAACCCAGGTGCTGGGTTGTGGTCTGTAAAGATGATACAATATGCTCCAATCTGAGTACATCTACAACCAGGGAGCACCTTCCAATGGGATCAGACCAGTCACAACATCCGTCAACATGTTGATGCTCTAACCCATGAGTACTTAGTATTCATGGCCCCACCCATTTTCAATCAGACAGACACACGGATGGACACACAGACAGACACACACACTAAAAACAAATATCAGTCCTGCTGTAATAGCTGCTATCAAAACATTTTTAGGTATCTAGCAGATTAATGATACCGTCACCTTCATGAGCTACATATCACAGAAATTATAAAACTGTTCTGGACTGCAAAATATTGTATAGCTCCATCTCAGATTATGCTTGTATTCATTTGACTATAAGATTATTAGAAATTGTGAGTTTACTGATACTCAAGTCAAACAAGCTATATTGAAAGACAAATGAGATAGAGTCCACTGTAAACTCTAAAGCTCTAAAGTCTCACTCATTTGTTTCCCCAGGATCCTCAGGACAAAGTCCTCTGCTTGTTGCACTGAGTGGTAACCACTCATCTCAGCTGAACTTCACATCCAAAACAAATCAGCTCTACCTACGGTGGTCCACTGATCACGCAACCAACAAGAGAGGATTCAAGATACGATACTCAGGTAAGATCTTTCCTTCTTCTTCTTCTTTTTCTTTCTCACCTGTTGGTCCTACAATCAGCTGCTGCACATGTTGACATCAGGAAAATAATACCAGTAATATCATTTACCAGCTGTCTCCTTATCTGTTCAGTTGTGAAAACTGAGTATGTCAACAGGTTGATTCTCTGGGTAGGTTTTTTAGGAGATGTTTTAGGCAGTGAGTGTCCTACTATGTCAAAGAAAAACACAACTTCAATTTGTTCCCATCCTGCTGTATTGAAAAAATGATCTCCTTGTATAAATAGACAACCCAATGGTCTTTCCCCTCATGAAGATAATCGATGCATCAAGGGTGTAGGTCCATGAGCCATGATCATTTAGACTACACTACTAATTGGAAACATTGTTTTTTTAATGCATTAGGCTTAATTAGGAGCCAAGGAAAATTAGCAAAACCAATTTGTTAATTTGACAATTTGTTTCAGATTGAGTGTATTATCTCTGCAGGTTCTTGCCAACTCCATGGTTCTCTAACCATTAGCTTGGTTAGATTCATGTTGTGAGGCTCAGCTGCCCCTTAATCATGGGTTTAAACCTTTACATTTGCTGAAGATCTTAATCAATCTCAGTTGCACAAAACACAATTTACAGCAACTCTGATCCCGTTTGGGCTCGAGAGGAGCGAGTCACAAGGTCAGGGTCCTGGGTCTTTGTACTGCAAAGTAATGTGTGATATATTTCAGTTTGCGGGTTATATCAACACAATGGCCTGAAGTAATCACATCGCCTTCTCCCCATGGTGTTGTATTGCTGTGACAACTGCAGCTATATAGAGAACAGAAATTTATAGTAGGTTTTTTATTTCCAATACACTGTTCATGCTCTTGTGTGCTTC